GGCAAGTCCTAGCAGTAACTAGCCACGCATTGAGTAAATAGCAAGGGAACACGTGCATATTCTCGTGTTTTAATGAAGTGCAACTTGTGAAATAGAATAGACGCAGGTTCGACGTTTGCTACCACGCTTGAATTATGTCGGACCTATCTTTAATTTACTCCACGCAACTTAGATTCGACGTTGGCCCCAGGCCTAAAAAAGAGACTCTACGTCGATAATAAGTCACTATGCAAACTTGTTGCAGCACGGAGACTGTCTTGACTCTCCCTCTGAGATTGAGAACTCTAAAGAAACATGCTTTCACCACAGCAAAGAGCAAACATATCCAGTTTTAGCATTTACCACATCAGTAGATAGCAATTTTCACGCGTTTTGATTGGCTCCCGTAACTAGGAATGCCCTTGGCTATTCACTGTTTTGTAGTGGGGTCAATATGGTGTCCCGTTTCGCGATAGTTTCGTAAGACTTTATTTCAACAACAAATGAAACGGCTGCTCCATCAAATACCAAGAAAGCGACGCCATTTTGCTAGACGGTGTTTTAATACCTTGGCGTCTCGGGATATCCACCACTTTTTTCCTACCTTTCAGGGGATAGTTGTATAGTATCCTTAAATGGTTCTGATCCTAATTTGTGCATATCTTTCGGTATCTGTGGGTGTCCCGGTAATCTGTTTTTTGCCATCTTTACCAGTTGGTCTAGCTCATGACCGGTAATCACTTCCGTTAGTGCTCACGATCAACTATTGAAAAATTGGTGTTGCATCTGAAGCGGGAGTAAGAAGAGAGAGAGTTTCAGAAGATGGCTTTTCGAGTGATGATCTTTCTTATATAACGAGGTATACTTAAATATAAGCCTATTTCGTGGCCTCTTTACAAATGCAACCGGGGATTGCGCATTGACTTGTATTCAGAAAAGAGTTAAACAACGTCAAAACAGTGAATTAAAAGTGAAAGCTAGCTAACGGACAAAAAAGGATAAAAAGACACGGAAATGAAATCAAAGCAGGCTTATCTCATCACTTAAGCCAAACAAGAACGTGAGGAGACTGGTGATTATTCTGCTGGTTAGGCCAATCAAAATCGCTTCTCGGGCTGTCATATCCGTTAGCGTTTTATGTCCACCCACCTGCTGATGTGCCAGCTCTTTGTACTCCTACTGGCATACAGTAGTCATTGGTGACAGTATTTCCCTTTTTGTTATAAGACGCGCAAGGATAGGACCCTCCATGTTGAGGTAATGGCATTATACCGACCTTGTTCTGGTAGCAAACCTACAAAAGAGTGAAAAAAATGATAACAACGTCATTTACAAATGTATTTAAAAAATTTCGTGTTGTAATCTCCTAATTCATTCTTACTGAAGGGTGATGGTGATGGTAAGATAACAGGTCGAGTTTTCAGGGCATACACTCCTACATAGTATTCATGTTATTTATTTTTCCAGGATTAAATGCTTCTTTCCATTATCGCCGTCTATATTGGTTGATTCAATTGTGCTTTACAGCGTTTCCCAAGGTTTTCAGACCTTAGCTTCCTTTCCTCTACGCGATGTTGTGCTACACGTTCAGTTGGGACGCGAGGGTTGCTACAATGGGTTGTCAACATCGTAAGTCTCTCAATAGTTTTTTTCACCGACTGAACTACATCAAATTTGATGATTTTATCATCAAATAGAACTCACACCTAAGCCTAGCTTAATTACGAGGTAAAGAAAATGGCAAGAAGATAAATTGTTTGTTTGGGCCGTTTAGAGAGATACCCGGGAGGTTTTCGCGTTAGTCCCTTAAAGCTTTATAGAGGTAATAAGAATCAGCTTTGCGGCAAATTAATCCTCTGGTGAACATCAATTTCTACCACGTGACCAAGTTTTCCCTTTATCTACCGTTTACCGTTCATTGTAGGTACAAAAAATTAGTAGATTCACATCAGGTTAAATAATTTAACATAATATTGCTCTTAGATTTGTCTGATAATGAGGCGCCATTGAAGTAAGCAAAGACGATTTTGAGCGACGCACATCAACCGGAAGTGGACTTTTTTTCATTCCTGAGCGGTATTTTTGCCAAATTTTTGGACAGATCGTCTCTATAATAAGAAAGAGACTAAGAAATGCAAATTTGGTATTGTGAATTTGTTTTAAAATGAAAAAGATCTCACTTCCGGTCGACGTGCGTCACTCAAAAACGCCTTTGCTTAAGCTCCCTAATTTACTCGTCTGCTGACCACCCTTTCCTGTGAGTAACCCCCCGAAAGCAAAGCTACCCTCCCTTCCCGGCATGTTTGATATTTTCATTTTTTCTTACCTTGGAATTTCCATTCCAAGCTTTCACAGTCACTTGAGTCGTTCCCGATGATTGCACTGCAGACGGACCCACCCCATGGTTCCACCAGCTCTTCACCTCTCTGCTTGGAGGTAACTCCCACTGCACCCATTTCGATCCTATTCCGTCAGCGTTATCTCCACTCGAGAGCGTATTTAACACAGAGAACACGAGCATCCAAGCAAGAGTATTTGGTTTTTCCGGCAGCCAAGGGCGTCTCCAGTTGTTCTGGATTATGGTTTTGTATCAGCCATTTAGTAAAGATGTTTCCAACCGTGCCGCTGACCTTCCCGACCAGAGTCCATCCACCACTGCCCATATCGCAAAGAGTTTCAACGGCTTCATTATTTTTGAGTGAGGTTTTGATCCAGTACACGCCAATATTTGCTGTGGTTTTCTTGTGGTCGTTAAGGTTGGAATCGTGAATTTGTTTACAGGAGTCGGCTGGATGTTCCTTCTCTCCAAGAGGCAGCTTGATACTTATCTTTTAGGTAAGCTGGCATCTGTCCCCAGTCATGATTGTGGGTCCCGACGACACGAGCAAACGAACCTAAGACACATTTTGTTATTTTTGCTCTGCACATTAAACAATACGTCATTCTTCTTCAGACTTATCTATATCATACTAAATTTCCGTGTAATGCAACCTTACGTAATTACTTGCTAAACGTTTTATGAAATGACTCCAGGGTTCAAATCTTTAGTTTTAAGTTCACTTGGACGACAGAGCGAACGACTTGCAAACGACTAAATCAGTTGCGCAAGTAACGTCAGACGAATACGACAACAACTTTGGTTCAACCAGCGCTGCAGAGATCTGACAGATCTCGGCCTTGTTCAGAAAGGACCAAGAATAAAGTCCCCGTTGAACAGACAAGAGGCCATTCAGACGTCAAGGCCACCTGTAGACGATTGATCCGAGCGCGGATAAACGATTGTCACAGAAGACACAACTACTACAACATCAAAATACAACAACGACTTGACAAACTCAAACAACTTTTACCGAGTACCTTACTAAGTACTATACAGACTATTGGCAACAAACGCGCTGAAGACAGCTGAACAGCACCACGCGAAAACGAATAAGAGACGGGCACGAATGCAAGACACAAAAAACGCTAAACGACGTAAACCCGACGCGAACTGGGTCAGGAATATTTCTTTCCATCTCTTAGACGAGACTGAAACCGCAAGTACTTTCCTACGGACTTAAACACTCAGTGACACGTAAACAAGCACCTACTGAGGCTAGGGTTGAGGCCGTTCTGTCTCATCAACACGAGCTATGAGAATCGAACAAGGATAACATCAAAAGTAGAGTGACATCTACTTTGCAATCAGCCTCTCTACCGAACAGGAACTTGACTCCTGACGAGCACAGAGCACTGAAACGACTGAAAACCGACAAGAAGATAGTCATACTGCCCGCAGATAAGGGACGGGTGACCGTTATTATGGACAAGACAGACTACAACGACTAAATGGATGCCCTTGGTAACGACAAACATACTTACGACGCACTTAATCATGCATTTATTGTCATAACTTTCTTTCATTAAACAATTTTAAAAAAGTTTTATTAAGTAATGCACTTTTATTTGCTCTTCAAGGAAGAAAACAAAGACAAGACTGATACAGTTGGCATTTGCAAAGAGTTACTTTGGAAAATATCACGCAAGATCTCGTTATGAGTAATTTTTTGGAAAAATTAAGTTTACAGGGTTGTATGAAACTAACTTTTCATAACTTTTCTTTCATTAAACAATTTCAAATAAGTTTGTTAAATAGTGCCTATATTATTTGCTCCGCTAAAACAAAATAAAGCCGACTGATATAGATAGCATTTGCAAGTAAAATTATTTTGAAAAAGTGAAATTATTTTGAAAAATATGAAGATCTTGGTGTGTGTAAAAAATAAGCAAGTTTACTTGTTGCAGGCCTCAGACCAACAAATACTTCCGTCGCTGAACTTCGTAAAAATTTCTGGCTATGTTCCTTCAGGACAGTCAATAAGATAAGTATTTGCCAGAGAGTTGATAGTTTAGAGAAAATAATAAATGAGAAAACAAAATGTCTTAGTGGCGATATATTTGCGTGTTCTGGTATGAGAAAACGACAATAAAACTCCAACAACAATGCAACTATCAAACAAAATACTCCAGAAACTGAATGTTCCAAAACTTTCAAAGTTTGGGATGGGTGGCAAATTTCTAATTTACCATGAAAGGGTCTTCATTCACGTGGTCAGCAGCTATATAAACTTATTGCAACAAAAGAAAGCGTTTATACAGAAGAAAAAAAATTCAACTCCCACAGGACTGAACGGTTTGGGAAACCAACATGACGGACGTGACGTCATGTGAAAACGATCTTTACGCGAAACGTAGATCTGTCGGCCCAATCATCTTTAGTATGTGGACTTGAAAGATGCAGTTTTTTAACTTTGCACACACACACAGGCAAATGCTAAAATAGTAGATTAAGCTTACAACTTTTGTAGCATTGGAGGTTTTAAGGTCGGGATTCTTACTGAAAAAGTTCCCAAATCTCCACTGAATTGAAACAGTGGGATTAATATGAAGGTAAATGTTGCGGACATAAATATTAAAATAAAATTGTAAAATCTGCTTCTGTCATGACACACTTTGACACTTAGACCGATCACCTATAAATAAAATAACAGATTGCTGTTTTCTTTTCGATCTGCAAACTTTGATTCAAAATCACGTTTTCCCAATTTTGCACCACTGTGGCATAAAACGTAAAGCAATCTTCAAAAACTTCCATCATTCTTTAATGTCTCTGTGAAATTTTATCAAATTGCCTCCAAAACAGCCGAGATATGAGCGTTTAAGAGATCTAGCACAAGCAAAATTTTGCCTTTTGAATTTATTCATGAATACTGATAAGTGTCCACCGCAGCCTTTACCGACACTTGAGAAAATTGACGTGTTATTGAGAGTGTTTCTATTAAATAGAAAGAAGATCGCAACCCAGGGTCAAACCTGGACGTCGAACCCCGACCTTTCGCTTCCTAATCTATCTTCCTTACCCCTACACTACTACAACGACCCGGCCGAAAAATTTAAGTACATAAACTAGCGAACTGTCTTTCTTAACTGAAACATTAGGTGCGGTTACACATTCACTCTACGATAAAACGAATTTTCCACTGTAAAAAGGCCGCAGCAAATTTACGGCTTCATTCGTTCCTACGGTAATAATCGCCGTCGTTCTGGGCAGGATTTTATTTTTTGTCAAAAATTTACAAACAATTAAAGGAAAATTAATCTGGTATGTTAATCGTGATAAATTAGTGAAGGTATAGACCATTTCCTTTAAATCTAGGCCGTAGATTCCATTTTACAGTCCATTCCATTTCGAATGTTGGTCAGGATTGGAACAAATTTTTGGTAACTGATCATTCCTACATCTGACACAAGAAACCTGCTGAGATCTTGCCTTAAAACCTTCAAATTATTTCCTTTTTTTTTTTTTTCAAGTTAACGTGAAAATTTGCCACATATACATCAATCTTTCCTAAAACAGCGCGCAAGAAACCCGCTAAATAAAAAATTTTTATTGAGGTTTCACGTTGGTGCCTAATGAAGAATCCTGATTAGTTTTCGTGCCTTAGGTATAGAAACACCATAGCTATTTACCACGTTAAATGTCATGAGCGGTTTCTTTCTTCTTTTTTACATATCCATGGATGTTCCCTATGGTAAATTTATCCCGGGAAAGTCCGGTCACACGCATCACACCAATTTCTCACGGTAAAAGTGTCATTTATCACGGTTAGAGTGTCCCGTGTAACCGCGCATCTATTCCTAGCCCTTTCCATAACTTTTAACGTAAATTCAAGGTGGGCTTTAATGTTGTTCTTTCTACGATTTTTCAGAAACGTATTACTTAATCCAGGGACTATATTACATGTATCATGCCGCACTATGGGGCGTGGTTACCAATGGTGGCATCCACCGTTTACGAAAGGAAAATAGGCAGCGCCGGTCAATTTAAAACATCAACATTCCCACTAAGGGGAACCCTCCTCGAAATCGAACTTATTATGTCGTCCCATTACGACTACATAGTGGTTAAATGGCTGTGCCCTAACTTATTGCTGGATTTAAAAATAAAATGTTGAAATTGTGAATTACAGTGAAACCTCTATTAAGCGGACACAAAGCCGGGTCCCGAAATTAACGTCTCATATTTCCCTTTTATAACGAACCCCTTTTCAGTGGACACCTCTATTTAGCGGATGCGAACACTAAAATAAATTGTATTTGGTCAATTTCTATTGTTAAAAACCTCTATTAAGCGGGCAATGGACTGAATTGACAATAGTAGTATTGGATTACGTCTTTGAAATACGTACTGTAGTCGGCTAATAAAGATAAATCAATACATTTGGCTGTCAGTAAACTGTAGATTAAAACGATATCCGACCGTATGATTGTCATCCACGATCAAAGTTCACCTAAAAGTCTTGCACAAAGTACAGCACAGCTTCCCTAGCTTCCTTAACAACATGGAACTTTATCACTGTACAGAGTAACCGTTGAATGTTAATCGTTCACAACATTGGGCAATTTTTACAAAACTCTATTAAGTGAACACCCTCTATTAAGAGGACACTTGGGAAGGTCCCGAAGGTGTCCGCTGAATGGGGGTTCGTTATAAAAGGAAATATAACACGTTAATTGCGGGACCCAGCTTAGTGTCCGCTTAATAGAGGGTGTCTGCTTAATTGGGGGTCCGCTTAATAGAGGTATATTGTAAATTTATCTTGTAAAACTAGCGATATTGTATACATTTTTACATAAGTTGTAACTTTTGTGAACAACATACTGCTTCTATTTGTTTGTAATGCGTGTTTGCCTATGCCTCTACTGGAAATCAGCTTTTGTTGTGTGTGGTTAGCGTAGTGAAATAAATGTTTGATTTGATTTTTGAATTTAATAACACCTCCTCGAACTATACGTTGGACAATTTTAAAGTTGAACAGTTATTCTGATTCTAAAATTTCCGTAGTTTTTTTTATATCGCTGTAAGTGGATCGATTCTCCTTTAAATTAATAATTTATTCACATACGTTTTTTTAACATTTCACAATTTTTTTAACTTTAAAAATTTTAAAGAATTTTTAAGATCTCTTTATTGTAATCTCT